ACCAGCTTTTTTGTACGATAGTACGTGTCGATTGCAACGTCATTTTCCGACAAAAAAATTAATCAGAAAGGAACGTGAATTGAGATAAATGTAAGAACGCGATTACAAGCATAAGGAAAAAAAAGGTTTGTGATAAATAAATTCAGGGTACACATCCGCATAATTGAATTTTGGTTATCTGTTCAATTGGATTATAATCAAGCTGTGTACATATTACCACTACGCGTTCTAACCTGTCATTTTCAAGCTAAATATCTATACAATAAGTCAAAAGTTAAAAATAACAAAAGTGTGATTTACCGTGGTGTTTTGTCAAGAAAAAGTCAATTAATAAATAGCCACAAACGAATTGAATCAATTGATAGTTTGTTGCAGTGTCGTCGTCCGGGGCATTTTATTGTTATATGTCTTTCAAAACCTTTCTGAGCGATCATCTCAAAGCATTTGGCTGTCGACCAAGTGGAACCAAATTTTTTCTGGACAAAATTTGACGGTGAAAGGTCAGATGAAAAAGGATGAGGCAGAACGACTAAAGTCCTGCAATGTCTTTCTGGTAAAAAAAAAAAACATCCTACGATCGTCCTAAATAGCTGCTTCGTATTTTGAACGTTTTTTCGCTCGAGCTGAGTACAAGATGGACTTTAAAAGTTATTCCTGTCAAACAGGAGGGCGTGAAGTGCAACTATCCGTTGGGTACGCGGACGAGGGTCAAACCACACCATACAATACTTCTTTCATACTATTCTCAATTCAAAAGCCATGTGATGTGCAGGGTCGCAACCCAAGACTGCAAGCGTGGCAATTAAAAACTAAAGGATAAATAATAAACAATTACGAATGGGACGCCCTAACCACTCGACCACCGCGGTCCCCAAGATGGATTTTAAGGGCAGACAAGAAAAAAAAAAGTCTGCCAAGTGGGTGGGCAATGTAGCTTCCGCATATTTTGCGCATAAGCGTGCGAATATGTTAATCCATTTCCCAAATATTCGGGAATTTTACTTTGCATACTTAAATTTCATACCATCTCCTAAGTTGTTTTAATGGTTTAAAGAAAGTGTAAATTTGAAATTAAAGAGATAATGTGAAATTAAAAAGGTAAAATTAAAGTAAAATTCCCGTATATTTGAGAATTTAAAAAAAATACAATATGGGATCTTATATGAAAAACCACATGAACATTAATTGGAATTAAAATTCCAAAATATATAAAATTGTGAATAAAAACAAATGATTCTTCTATTAATTCGATTGTCCTAATATAAAATTCTAAGAATCATTATTTAATTGTATATCACTTTTTATTATGATTGTAATTAATTTTTACGTGGTGTTCTAAATTCTACTTTATATTTTGAAAAAAATTCGCAAATATACGCGCATTTTTCTTTACATGCTTATATTTCACATCTTTTTTTAATGCTTTAAATAAAAGGATTAAATTGCAATTAAGAAGTGTTAATTTGTCGTTAAAAATGGTTTATTTGAAATTTACATGTGGTTACGTTGAAGGTTTGGGAGGGGGGGGGGTTGAAAGGTTAATTGGAATTTTTTTTAAAAGTCAATTTGAGATCGAAAATGGTTATTTGGAAATTAAAAAGGTTAATTTGATGTTAAGAAAGCGTTAATTTGAAATAAAAACCTAAATTTGATGTTAAAAAGGGTTTATTTAAAATAAAAAACCTCCATATGAATTTAAAAAGAGTTTATTTGAAATAAAAGATGTGTACATTTGAAATTAAAAAAGTTAATTCGGAGTTAAAAACAGTTAATTTGAAATTGAAAATAGGATAATTGATGTTAAAAAGCGTTAATTTTAAATAAAAACCTTAATTTGATGTTAAAAAGGGTTTATTTAAAATAAAAAAAACGTCCATATGAATCTAAAAAGAGTTTATTTGAAATAAAAGATGTGTTCATTTGAAATTAAAAAAGTTAATTCGAAGTTAAAAACAGTTAATTTGAAATTGAAAATAGGATAATTGATGTTAAAAAGCGTTAATTTTAAATAAAAACCTTAATTCGATGTTAAAAAGGGTTTATTTAAAATAAAAAACGTCCATATGAATTTAAAAAGAGTTTATTTGAAATAAAAGATATGTTTATTTAAAATTAAAAAGGTTAATTCGAAGTTAAAAACAGTTAATTTGAAAGTAACACCGGATCAACTTGAAATTTAAAAAAATTTAATACGAAATTAAAATGGTTGATTTTATGTTAAAAAGGGTTAACTTGATATTAAAAAAGGTTAAGTTTTACTGAAAAAGGATTAATTTGAAAATAATTCTCAAATATACAGGAATTTTAATTTACACATTTACATTTCATACCATCTATGTTTTTTAATGTTTTAAAGAAAGAGATGTTCACAATATTTATTCTCTCTTTTTTTATGGGTTTTATTAGATTATTCTTTCTTTTTGTGTTTTTTATTAAGTTAAACTTGGGAAATATATTTCGCCCAGGAAAAAAAGAATTCCATACATTAATCCCATTCACCATTTTTCACATCGTCAACTTTGCCTAAAATGTAAATACATATGTCAAATGTAAATTAGCAATGCTAAATAAATAAATTTCCCTAGCCTGTCTGTCAGGCGAGTTTCTCGGTTCACAGCATCTTCAGACATTTCAACACTTACTGCCCCGTATTTACGGTTTTAAACCGTGGGAAATAATATCTACCAAAACAGCCGAAAACAGGAGCGAATACAAAACGCTACTTTCCGGACCCAGAAATTTGATCCGTACTGTTCAATAATTAAGCATGATGAATCATCAAAATCGTACGCTCAAAATATTGAAAAATTTTAACATCATCGAGTTTGCATATTTAACTTTCGTTTTCTCTTAAATGGCAGACTAAATATAGGACAATGTCTGTTTTAACGATATACTGTACTAAACATACAATTGAACTATTGATCGCTAAATGTAAATTTAATTAAACAGCTTATGTTTCTATAAGTTGTAAGTGTTTCGGCCGATTTAAAGCCTTCTTAAGACTAAAATCGATGGGACATGAAGAACCAACTTTTACAAGAAAAACACGCATGCATTTTTAGACTTTATTATAGACGGAAAATAAAGACCTACGCCTAATGATGATTAATAGCCGTCATTAACTGTAAAATAATGATATTATGAAAAATGCAACGTGCCTGGAAGCGATCATTCTTTAGAAAATTACCGTTTTCCTAATAATAAATTAGGAATAGGTTAGTTTCTTCCCTGCATAAATGAGTTAATAGGTCATAACGACAAGATTAATTATACAATACTGGCACATTTTTTTTTCAGTACGCCAATCCCGACCCAATGTCACTAACGAATGGGTTATGTTTGGCCATTGTTTTGTTATGATATCGTAAAATTTAAATACAAAATGTTTTAAAAACGGACTCGATATTATTAACAATACATTATTTGTTTTTTGCGTAATATCTTTAGTAGATAAGTCATAAACCTATCATATGTAAAACATAATTTTATCATTGCAAATACATATACATTATTTTCTATGTTATAATTTTTTTCAGGGTTGAAAACTATTTTCTGAAAGGGAAATATGTTGGTTATGGTTTCTATTTTATGTTAAAATTGGGCATTTTTCCTCAGTTTCTCCGGTGCCGACCCAATTCACTCAACAAAATCCCCACCTGGCAACTCTGTTGGAAACACGGTTCTTCCACTCTGTCTGCAATAATGTAGCCACTCTTTATGTACGTTTCCAACTGTTTGATTAGAGGCGTAATTTTTAATTTACTCGATTATGATTTTGATTAGAAGGACTTGTGTCCGACAAGCAGAGAAAGGCTCAATGAAATGTGTTGTTTTTATTTTATTTTTAACTTGGCATTTTTTCTCAGTTTCCCGTTTACAACTAAACCGGGAAAAAAACACCAGCCGTGGCAACATTGCTAGCAAAACTGTTCTTTCTTCCAATCTGATGCCTGCCACAGTGTTGCCACTCTTTAAGTAGCGAGATCATTAACCAACCATTAATTAAATCAATTAAGAAAATTAGTATAAACGATATTGTCAGGAGTGCAGTCGACCTCATCAGCATTTTTTAATTAGACAGAAAATAATTATTTTGTTTATTTTCATTCCATTCCTGGTCATGCTAGTACAGGAGTGTTAGGAATTTTTTTTTAATCTGTAGGAACGGTTCAAACCTAAAAGCCGTATTTGTAAACTTTATAAATTTACTTCAGGTTTTATCATCAAAGATGATTTTGATTAGACGGCTCTTTGGGTGCGTATGTGTCCGGCATGCAGAAGCTCAATGTGTCCTAATTAAAACAGTGTAAAATATGTATAGTTTTATTTCATTTTTAAGTGTAAATTTTCAGTTTCTCCGGTGGAATCCCCCCATTATATTTTTTTTAAAATTCCCGACCCGTGGCAACACTGCTGGCAAAATGTTCTTCCACTGTCATGTCGGCCGCAAGGTTGCCTCTCTTCAAGCAGGTTTCCTCTTTTTGACTAGAGACACCATTAATCATTAAGTCAATTAAGAAAATAACTAAAAACTAAATTTTCGAGATTGCTCATAATATAACTTATAATAGAATCAGATCTGTAAAAATCTAAATCTACTTTGGCCAATTGACATATACAACCTTCTGAAATATTGTATTTTCACATATTTTCAAAGGGCACCCTGTACATTTCGTTGCATTAAGATGAACGCAATTGAGCTATAACGAAGTCACCCACGCTTAGGACATCAAGTGCCAGGATATTTATCTATAAAAGCTTTAATAACTAAAAACGAGTTGTACTTTCCTGAACCGTTTTTATGGGAATGAAAGCATTCGAATTGTCACAAAAGGTATTTATTTATTAACGTGGGAGACAAACTGTTTGAACAATTGTAAAAAACATTAATCTGAATTACCAAAATTGAAACAATTACTGCTTATATCTTGTCCATTCAATTGCACCATTAAGATTAAAATAAGACTAATAGTAAAAATAATTCTAATAAGAAGTACCTTCATAACCAAGCAGATTTAGCAATGTGCGCCAAACAGGAGATTTGTAATAGAAATGCATCTTGTCGTCGAGTACCATACAGGCAAAGGTAAGTCGATGGCAATATCGAAGTAATGGCTGGTTGTGTCTCATCACAGCCTCCGAGTCAGCATTATGGTAGGTTTATATCCGGGTTTAGTCAGCAGATCACTTATAAGCACCACCTGCACACTCAACCCTTTTTATTAGTTCTTACAATAGCTTGTGGTTATTCAATAAACTTTCTCATTTTTGTTTAAAAAAATTACTTTTACTGCAAGTGGTTGCTTAATTACGATTTTAACCAAATGCGTCTGACTTATGGGCTTGCCAAGTTTTAAGTAATGTAATAAATTAAATGTACATTAATTATAAATTATAATTTATAATTATAAATTTGCTTTTACGTAGTGTGCCAGAAATATGATGCTCATCCAATCTACAGCCAAGGAAAAAAAATTACTCGAGAAGATTTTTGATCGAAATGCTGATAACAGTAGACCAACGAGTGTATTTTTCATACTGTGACAGCCAGTTATCTAATTTGCTCTGTGAAAATTTAAATTCCGTTCCAATATTCAAACTGATGTAAATCTAGAGTCAAGTAAGTGCATTTACAATATAAGAATCATATCCATTTGGAAAAGTTAAGACGATTGATAACGTAAGATAATTTGGGAAATATCTTTCGGGAATAATTAGAAAATGGTGAATGAAATCTCAACATTGCACAACTGTTGACCAAAACGGGTTTTTGGTGTTGACATTTTTGACACTTGCCCGTAAGGATGTTTGTACATCAACAACTGGTGGCATTTGGATTTTCAATCCTCACTATTGATCCTAAAAGTTACGAAAGATGTTTATAAAAAAAGAAAAATATAACAACAAAAAAGGCCTTTATATCAGCCATTTTAAAAATTGCGTGAATAATCAAAAGAAGCTTATTCCAATGTTTAAATTAGAAAACAAAATAGACTCTTCTGACCCTACAAAAAAAACCCTATACTATCGCATATAGTTGCCCAGGAGATAGGAGGGCAATTGATAGCGAGATTGTTTTTTTTTTTTTTGTTTCCGGCGGAAGCAAATGCGATCCGACTGCCTTTATATAAACAAATTGATGATTTCCTATTTCTGAAGCTGCAGTACCCACCCAGAAAGAAAAAAGCGGGGAATGCACGACGTAAAATAATACCAGTAAGCGATCGTAACACGTAACACAATTAGCACACCACATTTTAACTTATGTACAAAAAATATAACCCATTGTAAACACTATACTGTCAAACAATAGTAATAGAACAAGAGCGGAAAAAGGACGCTACTAATTGATTGAAGGATAGATAGATAGAAAGATATAGAGAAAAAGATAGAGTGCAAAATACATTATTATATAAATCAATATATAAAGAGAGAAAGAAAATGATAGGGTAAGATATAGATAAACATTTACTCGTAGATAAGTGGATGAATTGATTGATTGATTTGCAGATGGATGGATAGATAGATAGAGATAAAAAATGGATAAAACGAAAAAGAAAGGAAGGAATCTAGAAAATAAAATAAGAATAAGAGTAAGACACAGAGAGAGAGGGAGAGAGAAAGAGAGAGAGAGAGAGAGAGAGAGAGAGAGAGAGAGAGAGAGAGGAGATAGTGGGAAAAGAGAAAGGAGGAGAGAAAGTAAGAGTGATAGAGAAAGAGAGTGGGGGGAAAGGGAAAGAATAATGAAGTAATAGGGAGAAAGAGATGGAGTAAGAGAAAGGGGAAAGTGAGAGAAAGAGAAAGGAGAGAAAGAGAAAGGAGAGAGAGAGAGAGAGAGAGAGAGAGAGAAGAGAGAGAGAGGGGGGGGAGAGTGAGAGGAGAGGAAGACGTGAGAATGATAGGGAGGGAGAGAGAGAGAGGGAGAGTGAGAGAGTAGACTGAGAGAAAGATGGGAGAGTGAGAGAGAGAGCGACAGGAAAGTGAGGTAAGCGAGAAACGAGCATGAGAGAAGAGGGTGAGAGAAAGAGAAAATTGAGTAAGAGAGAGAGAATGAACAAAGGGATGATTTCCTATTTCTGAAGCACAACACAGTGAACAATTGTTAATACCTAGCACTAATAGCACACTTCGTATCACTCAATTGTAAACAATATTTATATAACGATAGTAGGCTTAGGGTAATAGTCATCATAATCATAATAATAATAAAAATTCACCTAAATACGATGCTCTCGAAAGATCCATTTATCAAACCGTAACTGTCCAAGTTACAAGTCAAACTGCCCGCTGCGTTGATCAGTTCCAACGAATGTTAGTTTAGATAGGTACAATTTTATCTTATCTAGCCCGTAATCACTTCCAGCATTTTGTGTAAAATCTTTCGATTTCCTTTCATGCAGTTGATTCTGCTTGTATTTAACTTTGATACGATCCCGCATCGAAAGGCTATCGCGAATCGGCCAACGCGCTTCATGCTGAATTTGGAACAAAAATAAAAACAAAAAAAGCTAACGAAAATTAACTATCTGCTCGTCTAAGCACAATAATTATTGTCAAGAATAACATCGATAGTTTAACTGGAGACCGTGGTGTACGTTAGGGTTTTTGTCACACGCGGTCGTGTGTTCTAATCCCGGCTTTGCGCTTGAAATTCTCTAACCCCTGATATTTTCTCTCAATCTGGAAAAAACACAAAGGCCAAATAAAAATTATGAGCCGACAAATTCCCGTACATGTTCACGAGTTTCTCCATTGCTTCTAAAATACAAAAGGATGCAAATTTATTAAGAGGAAGTAAATAAGTGAAAATATTTGTAACAAGTTTTTATCATGAAGGTTCCGAAAAAAAAATCCACTGTCCACTATAAAGTACACGAATGATCCGTCTAAGAAACAGGTTGGATAATGGTAGTGGCGAAATTGGCGTGACACTGAAAACCTCTTATCCGAGATTAACGCATTACGCGTGGTGCGACCTTAGTTTAACTCCTAAGGAAGTGTTTTAGTCACGAGTGCCCTTTTATCCGAACAAACGCCATCTAACGGTTCTAAATGTCTACATTTGGACGGTACAAGACTAGTCAACCTTCTACTATTACTGTTAACGTCTACCTTCGATGATTTATTTTTTTAGTTCTTGTAACTGTTTTGTCCTGAAGGACATATTAGATATTAAGGTCATTGTGCGTGGTAACATTCGACTCATAGGATCAGTGAAGATGGTTCGGGAGGATATTAAACAAATTGTAAGGAACAAGTTAGAGCTTGAAACGTCTGCTTGAACCACAAAATTGGATAACGAATGTCCAAAATGGTCTTAGAAAGTAAATTTTTGAATCTCATTCGACTCATAGGACCAGTGAAGATGGTTCGNTAAACAAACAATATCATTTGGAAGAGGATTAATAAGTGTTGACATTCATACAAATGAGTAATCCTGTAAACGTAAACAGAATATTTTATATAGATTTTTTTTAATGAAAACTTAAAATCCTGCATTATTTTCCGGACAACCCAATACTTTCAGTCGCGTATGGAGCTCCCGGAATACATTCTTGTGGCATATCCAAATTTTCAACCGCCTGAACAACTGCCCAAGGGATCAGACATGGGTTTGCAGGTTTCTGGTTGACATGACGGGATCTTTATGGAACGGAGGATAGTGTTATTATTCGCAAAGGTAAGGATAGGAGCCAATGATGTCTTGAAAGTACCAACCAGCACTGACAGTGTAAGTCACAGTGTAGTAAGGATTGGACATTTGGAAGTTGGAACTTTTGGTCGAGATGTCGGGATCGATCTTTATGAGATCAAAGGACGACGGTATCATCCACATAGGGCGTAGAGAAAGTTTCAGATAGGGGTATAGGTTGGTACCTAAGGTACTTCCTTGGGCTATCCTTGCATCTGTGCAGTAACCAGCTGATTAAGCAGTAACCAGCAACAGATGACTTGAAAGTGTCAAGGGGCGTTTCACAGGAGTTCGGAGGATATTAGCTTGTAAGGACTGGATAGTAGGAGGTTGGTACGTTTGGCGATAACGACTACCTTAGTAGAAAAAGTGAATGTATTCTAAAATTAACCTTTTGGGTTAAGTAAAATAACTTTTGTCATTAGTGAAAAGCAGCTTATCTCTTTAAAGAAAAGTGAGGTATGTTATAGTAATAAGGATACTAGGAAGAGGAGTTTGTGTTCCCCAGGCACTGCAGCCGTCCGGCTTACTCTACCTTCCTGGTTCCTTGGTTCAGTGCAATAGAGTCAATCCTTCTTCTTAGAAGTATCAAGTCATTGACTGTCGCTGCTGCAATTTGATTCCCTAAGTTTTTTCCGTACGTTAGGTTAAATCTCCATTGAGCTGTTGTTTCGCATTCGACGATGATATGAGTGCCTGTTTCTTCCTCCTCATGGCAAAATCTGCAGATGGGATCATAGTTGTATATACCCATGTTGTGTAGATGTTTTCTCAGATGCAAGTGACCGGTTAGAACAACCACTCCTCTGAGTTTGGTCCTCTCCAATTGCAGCGATAATTTTGCCCGTCTTGGTGAGGATGTTTTATCGTATGTTTACTGTGTCTAGCGCCGCTAGAGTTTATCCACTTCTCTTTGTGTTTTGTTTGGATCCATTCTGCAATGGAGGATTCTATATTTGTTTTTGTTATCCCAAGTATAGGTTCGGGCCTATGTATGGTCTTGAATGTGTCTGCTTTCTCGTTACCTGTTACTTTTGTGCCCTGGCAGGTTAGATTATTGTGTTTCCCCAGGTTTTGAAGAATTTGGATCTATTCACTGACTAATTCTGATCCTTTTTAAAAAGATAGTTCCTACTCACAGTAAGTTGTTTTGCAACGATCCGGATTTCGAGCCTTTTAGCTCATCATCAGGTTGAAGGACTTCTACTACCACGTCTCTCGACATGAATTGCCAAAGTGAACCCGCTGATACCTCCGCCAACGCGACGTTCCAATTAGCAGCTGATTTTTTTAATGGCGCTCAATTTGAATGTGCGAAAGGCGGAAATTATAACACAAATAAATATTATTCTAGTAAATACTTAATATTATTAAATTACTATAAAAATAATAACAATTAAAATAATTAGTTTAATTATTTGGATGTTTGATATTATTTATATACATATTTAAAATGGGAGGTAGATCAAAATCTGTTATTATTAATGCATTTTATCACCATGTTCAATTTTACATT